TACCTTTAGGCGCGTTATGAAAAATTGATGAGAGTGAAATTTTACGATGCGCGCGCACCGTGACACAAAATTAACAGAATGAAGTTGCCCACGGAAGATGCTACGGCATTGGACATAATTTTAAAAAAACATTCGAATAATAATAGAATTTATGTTACACTTAATGTAAGAGAATAATAATAAATATTTATTTATTTAATTTTTCAAATGTAAACTGAACTTTATTGACTATAATGACTCCTTTTCCAGTCTTTGATTATTTAATTGTAATTAATTATTTGCATGCAATCAAAAACTATTTTTAATAATGCCAAAGAAGTATAACTTCTTACGCGTGTACATAAGTACATGCACCTTTTTTTTTCCAATCCGAGGTGAAGAAGCCTCTGCGCAGGGGTATGACCCACACTAGGGACTGGGTGAGCAATACCCACTAAAATCACTTCGGGTAGTTCCTACAAGGCCGCGTTAGAGAAGCTCCGAGGTCACTGTCGCATTCTACCGGCGAACTCAAAAACTCCGCTGCAGTACACACTATATTATGTAGCGGAGGTTGGAGATGGGAATATCTTCTCCTACTTTTCGTCTTCTTTTCCTAGGATTCATCCTAGATCGCTCCCTCTCCCCTTCTGCTGCCTCCTTCTGTATTGCATTATTTGTCAACGTTAAAATCATTTATTCATGGTAACACAATGTACACTTGTGAACGCCAATAAATAAATCCCTATTAAACGCTTCTAATTTTACAGTTACTGCCAGTTCTCAAATCAAGGGCGTAGAACGGAAGAGAAGAACTGGCAATAAACTCTCCGGCGCTCTTTTTAATCGCCAAGTTTTTTGTTTTAGACAATATAGTAAGGAGCTGCAACCATTACACCATATTCCATATGTCACCTTAAGTAATTAATAGTTAATAATAATAAAAAGAAATTAAAAACAAAGATTTGTCCTCTATCTCTGTATTCCATTCACGTCACTGCCGATCATTTTTCCACAATAAAAGTAGAGCAAGGTTGTAATCCACCACAAAACAAAGATTATGTTAATAATATATATAACGTAACATAATCTTTGTTCTTCTTAATAAATAAATAACTTAAATAAACTTAATATGTCGTGTGGAACATGGTGTAATGGTTGCAGCTCCTTTATACAAACGTTGTGTAAAATAAAAAACTTGGCGATTAAAGAGAGTGGCGGACAGTTTATTACCATTTCTTCTCTTCCGTTCTACGCCCTTGATTTGAGAACTGGCAGTAAATGTAAAATTAGAAGCATTTAATGTACATTATTTTTATGACGTCCATAGTGTACATTTGGTGCGTTCCACTAAGCGCTCACGACGATCAAAATGCTCCTTTAGCCATTCCACATACCGACCGCGGTCGTTGTGGTCACGGCGAAAACGTCACTCATGACGTCATGACTAATGCTCACGCAACGCTCACAACGACCCATCTAAAGAGGTGGGTCGTTGTGAACGGTGAGAATAATTTGGCGCAATTTTTGTTTTTTTTTGAAATATGACAAATAATAATATTATTATATTCAAAGCTTAAAGATGGCGACAAGAAAAATCACATTATTTGATTCAGAAAGAGAAATTGTAAAGCCATTTCGATTATATTTAAACTTAAGTTGTTTGATAACTTCACCAAAATTATTTATAAAATATTCAATTATTCTTCACATTTAACATAAATAAATTTAAGTCACAAATATCAAAACTTATTGTTTATGATTACCTAACCTCCTTAAAATTCTACTATTTTCAAACTTGACATTTGTAATATTTACATGAACGCCCGAAACGCTCCATAATCCATTCCACTTGAGTTAACGACAGTAACATTCACAATCAAGTGGAATGGGGAAATCAGCGGTCGTGAGCGTGATCGTCGTGAGCGCTTAGTGGAACGCACCAATTGTGTTACCTATATGAATAAATGATTTTTGACTTTTGACTGTGACAGACCGCGGCGGACAGCATTTTTACTATTTCCCTTTTTATAATTTATTCTGTATTACTGTTTATTGATTCTGTATCACTGTCATCTACCTGAACTGATAGTGTGCATAGATATGCACGTAAATCCATGATTATGATCTATCCTTGCCCACCATAACCCTCCAGCATTCTTTTAGGGCTTCATGTCACACCACAGTCCACACTAGCATATGAAAACATCGCTAGAAACGGTAGATATTTTGAAAAGGCGTCCGTAGGTTCTCCAAGTCAAAGTTATAAGGCAAGCCGTAATGTACCAATGTCATATACAATAAGTTAAGGCTGATTCTGTTTTGTATTCAGGTCGGTGTGATTGCCAGTAAATACATAAGTATAAATAAGCAATGGTCAGAGCCTAGATATTTAAATATAATGAATAATATACTATGTGGTATCCCCATGACGTTTATGCGGCAATTACCTGTGAACACGTTTCTGCAATTGTCACATCAGGTATTTCAATCTTTTATGCACCACTAGATAATCTTAGAAGCCTGGAAATTAACTTCGTAACACTTTTCATCAAAAAAGTTTACTAAAAAAATTTACTTTTTTGTATAAAAGCGGTTTTCCAAATATATAAATTGATAAAATATATTCTAAAAAACCATAATTATTGGAGATACAGGCTCTTAAATGTTATATAAATTCATTTAAAAGATATAAAACAGAAAGTATATACAATTTGATAAATCCTAAACAAAATTTTAACTCCTGCCAAAATATAATAGCAATATCGTTTTAGGTGTTCTATCATATACACGCCTGTGACCCTTTACAACGCCGCTTCTATCTTGCTTTTATGAGTGGAACTCAAGTCAGTACGATATAAACTTATCTACCTACTATTATCTATTTGGCAATTATTATGTTATAAATGCCTGGCTTTCAACATACATTATACCTATTTTGCAAGCCAAGACAGCAAGGAGAAATCTTAGCTCCTACGTTTATTTGAATTTTTTATATGCGTAGTTAATACTTGCTACTATGATGATCAAAATATTTGATCCAGCAAGCTAATCTCTTAAAAATGAAATATACACACTAGGACTAAATCCAAGTGTTGTAACGCTGATTATTATTTATAGAAATACCAGGTTCTTGAATATTGCACTAATGTTAGTAAAAACATCAGTTATGCGAGCGATGGATAAAGCAGTTCGCTTTTAAATAAACACTTTTAGGATTTCAATGTTTATTAGTAATTATAACAATGAAATATTCAGTATTTACAATTATCTTAATAAAAAAATTAATAAAACAAATTTTAAAAGTTTAGTCCCTGCGGCAGTGTACCTTTAACGCTGGCAGAATTACCTCGCTGTATTGCTCGACTCTATAAATCCTTGTTCATGATCAACGGTATCACTTAATATCAGAACAGCTTGCAATTGTTATAAAACATAACAATAAAAAATATCTCCTGCCAAATTATTATAGCAATGTCATGTTGACGTCTTTAAAATATATAATTTTGTAGGCATCATATTTTTCGTTCCGTTAATTTTATGAATTAAATTAGTATTCTAACACCGTTCGAATACAATACGTGGGAAAGTTTTTAGCTTCATGATATGTATAGCAATATATATAGTAAATTTATTTCTTTAAAAATTTTATTTAGGTAAATAATTCCATATTCTCTACGTTAATAAAGAGGTAAATAGTCAGCAAAATAATTAAAAAATTAATTATTCTATACATATTTATGAAAAATGTACATTTCCAGATGTTGAAATGCTTGTATTGACATAGCGAGTTTGCGTTAAGAATTTATAAAGTATTTAAGTATATTTCCCAGGTGTTGGGCAAGTCATACAGCTGGAGCGCGAGTGACGTAGCTCAGCTCGGTCTTCTAATGGCTGAAGTGACTGGACCAGATTTAAGTTCTATCAATCCTAAATCTATGGCTGGAATTACTTCTAAAGTAAATAAATAAATCAGTGGCGCTACAAACTTTCTAGATCTGGGCCTTATTTCTGTATATCGGTTTCATGATCATTTGGCAATCTAATGGGCAAGAGGTAATCAGCCTCCTGTGCCTGACTCATGTCGGCTCATTGTATCTAAGGCAAGCCGGTTTCCTCACGATGTTTTCCTTCATCGTTCGAGCGAACGTTAAATGCGCGTATAGAAAGAAACTCCATTGGTGCACAGCTGGAGATCGAACCTATGAACTGAGGGATGAGAGTCGCACGCACTAGGCCAACACTTTAATTTTGGAGAATTTAATTTTTTTACTGTTTACAACTACTTCTCCCAAATTTTTTTAACAAAAAACATTAGGTACACAATACAACATGCGTGAGTAATGTCTAAGAGCGCGGCTACACGATGCGGTAACGGTGCGGTGCGGCGCCGCACCGCAATTACTTCAAGCTATAGGGTGCACACGAGCGTTGCGGTGTGGCAATATATTTTAACCCTCCTCGCCTCGTGCTCGCAGGTCACAACTCGTCGTGTGACATGGTATAGTAATTTGTATGAAGGATGACGTTGCGGCACCACTCCGGCGCGGCAACGCACCGTTACCGCATCGTGTGGCCGCGTTCTAACATGTTAGGTCTTAGTAGCATCTCCAACTCTGCGTAAGGTGTTCAGAAGACATTCTTACCCCATTAATATATTTATGTTTGAAGGTGATGCTAACAATGTCGCCACATAATTTACAATACTTATCGGAGGCGCAACTCAAGTACTTAGGGCAGAAACCTTTAAACATTTTGGCGAGAAAACTGAAAAAATATCAGGATCAAATGCAAATATACGATAACCGTGGAGCGAAATTTATATCGACGACGTTATTTCCATTAGTTTATTTAATTTTAATAAACTTTGTTTAAATTTTGTTCGAGTTGTATTTAGAAATAAATTCGTGAATAAAACAATAACTTATAACTTATATTCCTTTAATTTTTGTATCGATGGCAAGTGGAGTGTGTAGCCTCCCGGACTATGCCGTGCCTCCAGCTGAAAGAAATCAGTTCCATTATTCATGAAAAGTGAGATCAGAATCTCTGTATATCTGTTTAAAATAAAACAGTTTTAAGACAATGTACCTAAACTAACGATTGTGTTAGAGATAGATACAACAAGCCGACAGGAGTTACAGCTTGCTACGTTGGTAAAAGTTTTTAGGGGAAATATTAGTAATCCTAGTTCTGCAACTCAGTTTATTAGCACCAAATAGCTATTTAAGATGGCGGATGGCGGATATTTGCAGTACCTATGGGCAGAACGAATATGTGGCACCGATATACTGTCTCCAAAACAATCGATATTTTTATATGTTCTCAGAGCGAATTCGCAAAAATGTTACGTTAATTTAGTTGTTAACTATCCCATTGGCTGTAGGCTGTTAGGGTAGTTGTATATTGTAAAACCAGTGGCGCTACCTTTTCAGGTCAGATTTCTGTGTTTCATGATCATTTGTCAATCTAATAGGAGAGTAGGTAATCAGCCTCCTGTGTCTGGAGACATGCCGACTTTTTGGGTCTAAGGCAAGCCGGTTTCCTCGCGATGTTTTCCTTCACCGTTCGAGCGAATGTTAAATGCGCACAGAAGTGCACCGACGGGAATCCTTCGACCTCAGGGATAAGAGTCACACGCTAAAGCCATTACAGGCCAATACTTGGCCAGGTGTTTTTTTTTTTTAAGGACAATGCACACCAATTGACCTAGTCCCATGCTAAGCTGGTGAAACTTGTGTTATGGGTTCTAGGCAACGGATATACATACATATTATAGATAGATAGACATATAAATACATATTTAAACACCCAAGACCTAAGCACAACACCAAATGCTCATCACATCGATGTTCGTCTCAGCCGGGGATCGAACCCGGGACCCATCGGAAATCCGGGCTGCGAAAAATCATTGGTCTAGTGGTATTGGTTAGTACCACTAGACCAATGAGTCGTTAGCCCATAAATATAACATACAATCTCGCGGACCACCTTCAAAGCATTAGAAACGCGTACTTATGTAAATAATGTAATATTTTCGAGTTACTATCCGTAAAAAGTATGTTATCTACTGTTATTTCCAGTTATTTTCGGGTTTCTAATAACATATCTTAATATATATAAATTACGTGTCACGTTGTTTGTCCGCTATGGACTCCTAAACTACTTAACCGATTTCAATCAAATTTGCCCATCGTGTGCAGTTTGATCTAACTTAAAAGATAGGATAGCTTAAATCTTAATTTATACCCGCAATATTACATATTTTATTGCAAAATATTTGTTTATTATTTGATAGTCACAATTCTAACAGATGGCGCTGTGTTGAAAGTACCAACGTTTCACCTAAGCTACAATTTAATGGCATAACCACCAAAAAAGCATGATGGTCCCCATAACTGGTGTTCTCCGTCAGTTTCCCTTGAATAGTTTACTACTATTTAATATAACAAAAACCTTAGCCACAGCAACGCTTGGCCGAGTCTGCTAGTATTATATATGATTATTCGGCGATGCACACCGAAGCTATTCCCATTATATCCCCAAGCAGGTGCTTGATTGGAACCCACAATAAAAGCGGAAGCGTGGTAGTCCCAAGCAATCCTGGCGTACAGTTGCAAATGAGGCAAAGAGAGACGTAAAGACTTGGAGCGAGGTGAAATATGTGTGGATGCCCTCTGCCCCATCTAGAGGTTATAGGACATAATACTCTGATTTTTCATTCCGTAGAATTCTGACATTTCATAAGTGTTGCTACTAAAAAAGTTCTCCACCGAAAAAGGGACATATTTGACCCATTTGAAGGCGATAAAAAAATGCGACGTATTTTTTATGTTCTATCTACAAAAAGGTAATTTTAAATATTTACTTAGTCAAGTGACCTAATACAAAAATAACAAATATTTCAATATCACGAACAACACATCGAATTAACTTAAATTACTTTATTTTATTCTTTAGCTGGCATCACTGCCTACTAATTCCAGGTTTAGTAAACCTTTTAAAAAAATTAAAAATGTGATCTTTACTTTTGTGTTTTTTACTGTTTGTGATGTAAATGGACGTAATTACCGATCGCCGTAAAATCACTTTCAATGTGGACCACCGCACTTAATAAAATGGATACATTCACTAACAAATTAAATGTTAAACTCAGATGTTCCGACTCGTATTGAAATTGAAAAATGTGCCTGGCCAAAAGGTTTGTCATTTCTGACATATCAAAAAATGATAGCTGTCAGAATTCTACGGAATCGAAAATCAGAGTATAAGTCAAGTAAGTTATAAAGAGAAAAATCTAATTATGTCTGCCCTCAGTGCCCTATGATCCTGCAATTACCTAGAGTTAAGCTACTCTGGATAGATTCTGTGAAAAAGCACTTACCAAAAGATCGCACCAATCTGTTTGAGTACTTTTAGTTTGTGGTCCTTCAAACATTTTACTTTTATCGAAAGCACTTGAATTTGTTGTAATTTCTTGATTTGGTAAAGGTGTAGGATTTGCAGGAGGTAAAGCTTTACGATCTTGTACAATGTCCGTTTTACCGTCTTCTGCTGTGTCATTCTCTTTTTTGGGTATTACAATGTCATCAACTTTTTCGTTTCTGTTTTCATATACCTTTCCATCTTCAGTATTTGATGCAGTGAGTCTGCAACTACACTTAATAAGGTTTATTAAATAAAATCTTGTAAGAGTATCATTTGGCTCGCTGTTTGTGTAAATTTGGATAACAAATGGTTAAAAAATTAAAATCTAAAAGTCAATAGAATCTGTTGTTTTTTCATAGTAAATATATGAGGATAAAGCAGCCTACGGGACGCCCAAAAAGAGCAGACATCGCAGCCATAGACACCCATTTAAGTGGGTGCGTTGCCGGTCTTTGATAGAGGAGTATGCTCTTTGTTGTATAGTTGGAGATCGTATCTCCCAAGAAAGACCCCCAGTGGAAGTAGATTCCACAGTAAGCTAGTTAGCAAAAGAAATTGTTTTGTGAAGCGGACCGTGGAAAACTTCCAGCCATCAAGGCGCTTTTTTATTATTACCTTAAATCATAGGGATATTAGTAAATTTTAAATACCTATCCGACTTAATAAGTCCTTGCGTTGGTACCAAAATGAAGTAATCTTTATCTTTCTCATTCGACAAGGCAAATATTTTATTATCAGTACGGTGACTGCTGCATGAACATCGAACAACCACAACTTTGGTATTATCAGGTTCTGTTTTTGACATAACTGGATCGATGTTTTCACGAACCTTCTCTTTCTGAACATCTAACACGGATCGTTCAGCTGATTTGATACTAAAACATTTCCTCAACTCCATGTTATTAATAGAATTTGATCGATTATGTACTTCGATATTTAGATTCAAGTTAAAAGTACACTCCTTTGTTTGCTGTAGTTTTTCATTCACGGAAACCCAACTTTTCTGAGTACCTATATCTTTTGTTTTCATTACATTATCAACACTCTCATTTTGACCTAGTTTAATGAGAGTATTATCAATTGTATTGCTTTCAATTTTCATAGTTATATCATCATTAATATCTTTGTCGACATCTACTATCATAGATTCCGTTTCACTCACAGGATTCTTGTATACGTTATTATTTGGTTTAATTTTATTAGCATTTTCATTTTGCTCCAGAATAACATCAAGTCCATTGTCACTAGAAACATTAGTATTCTTCGTAAGTTTTTTTGCAGACGCTGACGATTCCGTTTCTAATATAGCGTCAATGATGGGTGTTTCACTAGGCGTTAGACCCTGTTTTATAACAGACTTATCAACAACACCTAAATTCTTTATCAAAGAACTATCTCTCTTTGTTGACGAGTCTGATAGTTTTCCTTTTCTTAGAATTGCTTTTGTTGTAAGAAGCTTTCGTCTTTCAATGGGGTCTTTTGATAGAGATGAACTTCTAGTTGATGGTTTTGTCGCTGTTGACGGCTTGTGCTTTGTGGCTGAGCTGATCTTGCTGCATTTACCTGTTTCAGTCTGAAAGAAGGTTTGTGAACAGCTTGAGTAGCTAGGTTTGTTACGCCGATTCTATTAAATAACTTTTTTTTATAATAATTTAAGGTTCAACGGTTTATTCGCTTTATTTCCCTGCAAGACATAAAACTTAGAATTTGCCTATTCATTTTTTTAAATAGATTTTACTTACTGTTGATACAGAATCATCCTTCACTGGTTTGTTAGTAGATGTAGTAATCTCTAAGTTGCCACTAACGTGGATTTTTTCTGAAATTCAAAGCTTAATAAATATTTTCGCCCAAACAAAAAAACAGAAAAGAGCGTACCAATTCTTTAAAGGGCGATAAGCCTGGTATTGTGATCATGGGCGGCGGTATCCCTTAACGTCAGGTGAGCTTCCTGTCTGTTTGCCCCATTATGAAAAGGATTAAAGTAACATTTGCTGTCATGGTTTTATTTGAGAATCGCTCCCCGTATGCCACAAGATATTCACAATTGTTCCATGTGCGTACGAACAGGATTTATCTGCGTAATTCGCCAATGTTTCGTGTTTTCGCTAAGTACAATACAATTTATGAAGATGAATGTCTACATCTTCATGAAGATGAATGTCCACCTCCTTAAAAAGAGGGCGTGAGGAAATATTTTGGGAAGCGGGAAGACTTTGACTTTATTTAGCAGTAGTAATAAAGTTTTTGAAGTTATACTTCTTTAGGCGCGTTATGAAAAATTGATGAGAGTGAAATTTTACGATGCGCGCGCACCGTGACACAAAATTAACAGAATGAAGTTAGTGGCGCATGTTGGCACGCACGCCGCCTCTGTTCACTGTGTATTTATATTTATAATATTTATCCACATGCTTTGTTGTTTTCATTATACAAGTGCGAATTTTATGTGCGTCTGAATTATAATCAGAACTGATTTAAATTGAATATTCAAATCAATACTAATTAATATTAGAAAATAAATATAAATATAATATTAATAAATATTTATTTATTTAATTTTTCAAATTTAAACTGAACGTTATTGACTATAATGACTCCTTTTCCAGTCTTTGATTATTTAATTGTAATTAATTATTTGCATGCAATCAAAAACTATTTTTAATAATGCCAAAGAAGTATAACTTCTTACGCGCGTACATAAGTACACGTACCCTTTTTTTAATATTAAGTTGTCGTTTGTTTAATTTCAGTTTTCTTTTTTAATCTTATCATGTATTTTGACTTATGCCTTCCGTTTCGTATATTTTGTTTAACAATCTGTGGCTTTGTATATGTCTAAGTGATTTTTTTTGTAATAGGTATATGATAAATGCAACTCAAATATGTTGCGGAAATATGTATTTTAAGAATCAACATTTAGAGTTTGTTATTTTACTTGAAAACCCTTTTATCCTATTTCTTTTATAATTCAAAATATTCTATCAAATAAAATGTTCAAATTAAAACTTAAATGACAGGCCAAAACTAGCGTCTTTTCCACAGACTAACAAACATCAGTTAACACATAATAGATAATTGTTAAATAAGAAATATAATTATTTATTTACATGTAGATGTGAAGATATAAGATTGCTTTTTAATAAATATAATGCAACGTACCATGCATTGGATTCCTGATGCCACTCAATATCTTTCCTTGTCTCTTTTCCCAAGATCTATGACATAAAAAAATGTGTTTATTCATTTGACTAACAATTCATTACAATGTTTAAGATTTGGGAACCCTCTTAATTAAAAAAATACCTGTGTCAGGGTTCCCAGCTCTTCCATAACAAACTTAATTATAAATTACTTATAATACAATATAAAATAAACCCGACAAACGTTGTTTTGCCATGTATGTATATTATTTCTAGGGAACATTTTTTTAGTTGAATAAAATTAACTATCTACTATACTAAAAAATAGGTTTAGGCTTAGGGTTGATCGTAGAGAGGTGAAAATGTAGGGTTTTTTATTTTTAATGCAACATAATAAAAAATAATAAAAAATTTATTTTTTTTGGGTGGATACTTCTTATCACTTAGGGGTTTGAGAGATAGATAGTAGCCGATTCTTAGACACACTGAATATGCATAAAAAAAATTTCATGAGAATTGGTCGAGCCGTTTCGGAGGAGTATGGGAACGAACTTTGTGACACGAGAATTTTATATATGTTAACGTAAAATTGTAAAAACCGTTAGATTGTAATCTATCTCGCGAGATTATAAACTATCGAAAGATTGTGAACCTCAGCGTACTGCCTACAATTTAACGTATTATTATTCGGTAGATTGTAATCTATCGAAGTGAAACCGTCAAATTGTGAAACGGCCATTTCCTACTTTTCTATTGGTTATAAGAGATGTGACATTCTCGTTTTCTATTGGTTATAAGTGATGTGACATTCTCGGTAAATTAATCGAATCGATTATTTCCTCATTTGTTAATTTTAAATTTAAACCTAATTTAACCATTACTTGTCAAATGCACATACATTACATTAACTTCATGTTCCAATTAGTGTAGGGTTCCGAAAATTTTGAAATTATTCAAAAATAATCTATTTTTTAAAAATGAAAATCGATTTTTGTATTCGTTTTTTTGAATAATTTAAAAATTTTCGGAACCATACACTAATTGAAACATGAAGTTAATGTAATGGTTAAATTATGTTTAAATTTAAAATTAACAAATGAGGAAATAATCGATTCGATTAGGTTCAACTTTAAAAATAACAAATGAGGAAATAATCGATCCGATTAATTTACCGAGAATGTCACATCACTTATAACCAATAGAAAACGAGAATGTCACATCACTTATAACCAATAGAAAACGAGAATGTCACATCACTTATAACCAATAGAAAAGTAGAAAATGGCCGTTTCACAATTTGACGGTTTCACTTCGACAGATTACAATCTACCGAATAATAATACGTTAAATTGTAAGCAGTACGTTGTGTTCACAATCTTTCGACAGTTTACAATCTCGCGAGATAGATTACAATCTAACGGTGTTTACAATTTTACGGTGACATATACATACTAGCTGACCCAGCAAACATCGTTTGCCATGTAAGCATATTATTTCTAGGAAACATTTTTCGAGTTCAATAAAAATATAGACTATCAATAAAAAAAAATAGGGGTTGATTGTAGAGGGGTGAAAATTAAGGGTTGTATGTATTTTTGTTTGATGTATTATAAAAAAAAATTAAAATTTCGTCCAAAAAATAAAATGTTAGGGGTGGAGAACCCTTATCACTTAGGGGTTCGAAAGATAGATAGTAGCCGATTCTCAGACTTACAGAATATGCATAAAAAATTTCATGAGAATTGGTCGAGCCGTTTCGGAGGAGTATGGGAACGTACTCGTACATTGTGACACGAGAATTTTATATACATATTAGATATACATGATTTATATATTGTTAACTTATTACGACTCCCGTATGTCAAACAAGTATTAAATAAGATTGAAGAGTGATTCATACCTCGAAGCCTTCAGTAGGTACTTATCATATCCAGACTGTATGAAAGGGTCTGGCGGCGAGACCGCTACATACGCGGCATCATTATGTAGCTCCAATGGTCCCTCCACTCTTCTTCCTTCTATTGTGTATAGCTCTATCTTTGAATGTCTATCAAAAAACATGGCGATGAAAAAGATCAGCCGAGAGTTTTATGCTAGCTAATAGAAGAAGTGGTCGCCGAAACTGAAGCCTATTTTGACGCTAAATACAAGTTATAATGACCAAAATCAAAGGTCCCGGCTGGTACTTAATAACGTCATCGGCTGTTACGACTACCGGTTTTTACGACCAAACATGGGAAGTCCCTTCGATGTCGTTATAACAGATTTTGACCGTACTATAAAAATGGTGGCGAAAATTTTTATAACCGCTATAATCGTTGTACCGCTCTTAAGTATGGGGCCTAAAGTATGGACTGAATTAAACGACTTGGTATTACATGGATCTGTCTTTCTAAGGTAGAAGAACTGCATTGCGAGACTTGGTTTTTTAAGTTTGGCTATTAATATACGCGTAATCAAAGTCGTTCGGTGGCAAATTATCTTGTGATAGATAACGCGGGCTCCAGCCTTGTCGTGGCGGGAAGACTTAGTACGCAAATGGGACCTCCACGACGGGTAGATGGTGATTTAGGTGACCGGGCTCTTTCAGCGCTCAGCGCTCGTTGTCCTGTTCGTGGCTCAAAGTGCTCCCAGCTCCTCGACAGGCTGGTTGGTCGGCTGCGCGCAGCGAGTAGAGACCGAACCACCCCGCGTGCTGCAGCCCCCATTAAGGGCTATACAGCCCGCCTCCGTATCGCTCTGTATTAGCAGGGCGCGAACAGATACACCACCCGAAGGGGACATATGCCCCGAACGGTCCTAAACACCCCCTCGCGAGGGTGGGTGCAACAATAGCTACCTCGTACGACAGGCTGGTTTGTGGAGCGTTGTGTGCGTGCTAGCTATTTGTATTTTCCACTTCCCTTTATCCGGGAGTGGTGTGTACTTGTGGTGTGTACTTGTGTTGGTGATTTGTGTATCTGTGTTCACGTTCGTCTGTATAATGTTCTTGTGTTGCTTCCAAAAAAATTATTTAGACAGAAATCAAACTGAGTTATTTTACGCCTTTAAATAAGCAACTGGCCTTGCTATCTGCGAATACACTTTTTCATACACTAAAAAATAAATACAAACAACCCATAAATTATTTAACAACGACTATATTACTTACTAGCAATGCCCCGCGGTTTCACTCGCGTCGATACCGATCTCGCGGTAGTGGAAAGGTAAAATATTCTTTTTGTAGATATTAATAAGTTCTATAACACTATACAAATTTTTTTTGTTCTATCATCAATAGTTTCCACAGCGCACGCGATTACAGATTTTTTTATGGATAATTGTTTCACACCTTGGGTTATATGATTGCGCTTTTATTAGGGATCCCTATTTTTTTGAAAATATAACCTTTACTTTTTGAAGTTTTCTCATCGAGGCAGTAGTATTTGTGTGAAAACATTACAAATATACATACAAAAACACAACTGTTTCCTCTTTATAATATTAGTCTATACTAATATTATATTGAGTGTGTCTATGCACATACAATTATTATCAATGAATCGCAGTTTTTATTCAAATACTTACAAAGAACCATACTGTGAATGTGCAAGGAAGCTTACTGTCGAATCCCAGAACTTTAAATCGTCCGAACACAAGTGATACTTTCTCGGCGGTGAATATTGTTGTCCATTCGAAAAGATAAATATATCCATTGCATTCCAATCTCTCAGCTCGTCTGGCACTCTCGCTTCAACCATATTTAGAACTGTAAACGAAAATTTGTACTATTCAATCCAAATTATTCGAATAAATGCGGCAAACTGAAGTTGGTTGGTATATTGTCAAAGTATCTATGGTTAATGTCAGCCGTCACTCGACAGAATTGGATTGACATTGGAATACAGAACATAAGTACTCATAAACTGTTATTCTATATTTTAAAACGTACGTTTTGTGATCATGCATTTTGTCACACATTGTGGTCTAAAAAGATTTAAATTTAAATATGGAGTTTTCCTCGCTCAACGAATAAGTACCGCAATACAGCGAGGAAATGCTGCCAGCTTTTTAAATTTGTTTTAATTTCTATTTATTAATGTAATTGATGAAATTTTGACAAAATGGAGTGCCAGTCTATGGCATTTGGACATCTAATATTCCATGACTTGTACTTAAATATATTTGTAACATAGAAGAAATAGCAAATAGATTGAACTTTTTTCATTGAAATGAAAGATGATTGTGAGGCAGTTGCATGGATCTGGACCTGCTGGATCTGCTTTTTAAGTTCTCATCTCATTATCACACGTATATATCCTTTTTATTACACATTTCAAGTACATATCTGATTGTCTCATATTAATGTGTGATGTTTGAGAGCAAAAATAAAATAAAATCTATATTTTGCAAAACCAAAAACTTGGCGATTAAAAAGAGCGACGTAGAGTTTTTAGTTTCTCTTATCTCTAGTCTGCTTTTTCTCTTCTGTTCTCCGCTCTAAATGTAACGTCAAAAGCATTTTATTTGTTGCATTATATGGTTATATTAATGAACTCTATTACCTATAAGAATAGATGATATTTTGATTGATTGATTTTACACCCTCTTTACACAAGCTAAGAAAACCAACAGGGTTTTACCGTCCGTTAACAAACCAAGTAAAAGTATGAAAACGCAACTCATTTCCACCCAAAATCAATCATTTATCTACGATGGAAAATCAACTTTATTTTAATCTAAATTAAAGTCTAATTTGGTTTTTCCCCTGTTGTAGATACAAAAAACCAGTCTAAAACATCAGGTCTGGGTTTCAGCATTTCGTAAAGATTAAAAAAAAAAACGGGCAAGAGGCTCACCTGATAACGCCGCTTATAGATACGCCTTAGATTACAGTCTATTTCTTTTGATTTAGATCAAAAGTTATATAAGATGTTTAGAATATGTAGTGTAATAGTGATATAGTGTTTTTAAGGAATGGAAGGGTGTGGAACCCTTGTTATTTGGCACTCCTTTTTAACAGGTCAACGATCGCCACACCTCGAAATATCGTCGACTGCACCCCCTTGACATTCTAAATGCATACAACTCAGCACTTTAACAGTTTAATCGAGGTTGACTTCTGATATAAATGGGAATTTAATAAATTACTTACTTAACCCTCCACCTACCTTTCTTCCTTTAAAAAAAATCGTATAGTGGTGCGAATACCAGTTAAAATCTAAAATGTTATTGTCCAATATCCTCCAAATGAAACCATAAACCAACAAATATTTAAGAATATTATTCAAGTTATAGCTTCTTATGACAGTATCTGGTCAATATATTCTTGAAGCCTTGTTGTATGTACATATAAACGATTTTAAAACAAATGGTGACTTTCACCAGTATAACACGCGAAACAGAACTAATTTGAGTGTACGACCAACCAGGCTCTAGAAGATAAACCACTCCTTATATGGAAATTGTATTCGTTTTTACAACAAACTCCCAAGCGAAATTAGAGAATAATTATCACTAAATAAATTCAAAGCCCTCGTTAAACGTAATATAATAAATAAAAATAAATCAGTGGCGCTACAACCTCTTCAGGTCTTGGCCTCAGATTTCTGAATGTTTCATGATCATTTTTAAATCTAATAGTCATAGGTGATCAGCCTCCAGTGCCTGACACACGCACACGACTTTTTGGGTCTAAGACATGTCGGTTTCCTCACGATGTTTTCCTTCGCCGTTCAAGCAAATGTTAAATGCACAGCCGGGGATCGAACCTACGACCTCAGGTATGAGAGTCGCACGCTGAAGCCACTAGGCCAACACTGCTCAAATTATTCAATAAAACGTTTTATAAATTTGACGAATACTTAAATGATCCTGATCCTGATTTGCTCCAGTTCAAACAATTTGTATGACTCAAAACTTAGCGAATAAAAAGAGTGGCGGAACGTTTCTTGCCAGTTCTTCTTGCCCGCTCTACGCCCTTGACATGCGAATTGGTAGTAAATGTAAATTTACAATTAATTTAACTTCATTTTTGACGTTCATAAGTGCACGTTTACCTATATGAATAAAGTTATTTTGAGTTTGAGTTTAAGAATGTATCATAGTTTCGCCATAGTTTCTAGCATTTAAATAGATGTTACAGAACATTGACGTCGGCCTATATAGACAAGCGTCCTATTAAGGAATTGCCTTTAATCTAAGCCGCTTAATCCCAATACGGCGTTCGCCATTTACAAACACCAAAAGCATAGTAGAAATCGAAACGCTAAAACGGAGAGAAAAGTGAAAACATGATTCACCGTTATTCTATGATATTTCATTTGTATTGAGGTGCTTTTTTAATCATGAGATTAAGAATGAAGTATGACTTCTACATACATAAATACACGTAACCAATCGAATCTTTAATAATAAATAAACACAACACAGACTAGCAATAGGATAAGTTTTTGACAATTTATGCAAATGGCGTAAAAAAATGAAAAATAATGGAGCCGGCCTGCATTTTCAGCCGAGCTGTCACTGTAATAAAGTTGTAAAACGTAGAATAATTTAAAAAAAACTTTTTTTATGGCTCTGGCACGGTTTGTGCATTAGCCAGCGTCAAGTATAAGATTTTTAATAATTCGTGCTTGCCTTTAGAAATTCGACCGTGTCCTCCATGTACGGTTTAAGCACTCGCCCGGTACCGCACAACCCTCCCAAAGGCCGAGAACAAATTTTAATTAAATAAAAACATGCCCTCGAACCGGGAATCGAACCCGGTACCCCTCACCTAGCTGCCACTTAATAAGACCGCTAGGCTATGAGGCCCCCTAAAATAAACTTAGTTTCGTAAAAATTCAGATTACTTTTTTATGTTTTATATCCTACACTGTGTTCTATAACCGATTGATTGGCTATAATTTATAAAATAGTTTTCATTGTATAATCTCCGTTAAGTTTAATCTTGAATAAAGAATTACTTTCAAATCTTCAGGCATATAATATATATCTCGATTCGATTCAAAAATACTTTCACCATTTTAATGCTAAATTAACTGGAGGAGTGTCCCTTTGATATTAAAGTATTTGGGCACTAGCTATGGCCTCTATTGCCAAAAGAGTGCAGGTCGTTTTTCTCACCATGCCGCGCTGCTAGGGTCGCTAGGGTCAATAGGAAGCAGCCAGATGAGATGTTTTTGATCCTTCGGAGGATGGGACGGGCTTTGGTATGTGATGCTTCTTGTGTGGACACGTAAGCCCCGTCTCACCTATCTCGGACAAGCACAAAAGCTGGTGCAACCCCAGTGGGGTTCAAGGGCGCAGGCGCTAATTAAAGATTTAAATTGGCGCCTGGTAGATAGTACCGGTGACTCCAGAGCTGGTGCTTTCCTCCCTCAACGAATAAGTATCGCAATACAGTGAGGAAATGTCATTTATAAAAAATAAAACCCAATGATATAAAAATATAAAGATAACACAATGTACACACATGAACGTATTAAAAAAAAGGGTGCGTGTACTTATGTACGCGCGTAAGAAGTTATACCTACTTCTTTGGCATTATTAAAAATAGTTTTTGATTGCATGCAAATAATTAATTACAATTAAATAATCAAAGACTGGAAAAGGAGTCATTATAGTCAATAAAATTCAGTTTACATTTGAAAAATTAAATAAATAAATATTTATTAGTATTTTCTTACATTAAGTGTAACATAAATTCTATTATTATTCGAATGTTGTTTTTAAGTTATGTCCAATGCCGTAGCATCTTCCGTGGGCAACTTCATTCTGTTAATTTTGTGTCACGATGCGCGCGCATCGTAAAATTTCACTCTCATCAATTTTTCATAACGCGCCTAAAGAAGTATAACTTCAAAAAACAAAGTAAAACAATTCTTGGAAAATATATCGATAGCTTAAGAATTAAATATCTTAAGTATTTTATAGGTACTGGAACCTCTCACGAATCTTATTTTTATTTTTAACTATCCACACGTAGACCCTTTGACTTTGATCTGGTGACCTTTTAATTGCAAAAGCTTAAGACTATGGTGTACCAATAAATAAAAATAAATCAATTGCGCTACCACCTTTTTAGGTCTGGGCCTCAGATTTCTGTATCTGTTTCAAGATCATTTGTTAATCTAATAGGCAAGCAGGTGATCAGCCTTCTGTGCCTGACGCACGCCGTCAACTTTTTGGGTCTAAGCCGGTTTCCTCACGATGTTTTCCTTCACCGTTCGAGCGAATGTTAATGCGCACATGGAAAGAAAGTCCATTGGTGCACAGCCGGGGATCGAACCTTCGACCTCAGGGATAAGAGTCGCACGCTGAAGCCACTAGGCTACTAGTAGTATAGTATAGTAACAATAACACTTATTAAAATACCCATTCGGAGTAATGTCAGTCCTCGAAGTATAGTATTTCATCTTTTTCTATCAAATTATGTTCAGGGTGTGATATAAAGAGAAATAAATGCTTAAATAAAACGATGTAATAATTAGTGTAATTTAAATAGTTTAGTTGCGATTTATTTTTTACTAACACAGTAGTATGAAATTTTAATAATTTATTTATTCACACAAACGTACGTAAACACACATATATATTTAGATTATATTTTGTATATAACTCATTTAGAATTATAAGCGATATAATAAATCGCTAGGACGTCTACTAAAAAGTGGTTTAATTATATATACTTGACAAAATGAGTAAAAAATATAAAGGGAATACGTGATCTATTTATGGCGGCGCACGCGCATTCTTGAAACAGATGCGACGTTGACTTCCTTTTGTAAATATAAACTAAGAATACTTATCTACTAGCCGCTGCTTCGTTTCGAGACAAATATCCCAATCAAATACACTTGGTACGTGAACACTTTAAAAAGTTTGTAATCTAATCAAGAGACCAGTGTTAGCTTAGTGGCTTAATGGAACTCTCAACCAGGACATCAGGTTCCTCTTGCCAATAAACTAGCTCCATCAAAGGAATCGTGTCATAAAAACCCAAAAATCTACATACCCAGGCACAGACTACTACATTTCTATTATAAAAGTTATGAAACGGCTGCAGTCTATGGCCGAGGCCCATTTTGCACCTGCAGCTGAGTTTCATCACCGGATGACGAGGCAGAATACGAAATTTCACCCGTATCACCTCGAGGTCCGCTGTTCCACAACTGAGCGTATTTAAGGCAGCTTTTGCCGCGCACCACCACTATGTGGAACCAGCTGCTTACTGAAGTATTTCCGAACCAATTCGACTTAGGGTCCTTCTAGAAAAGAGCGTACCTACAATGCCGGCAACGTACTCGCGAGTCTTCTGGGATTAAGACTATCCATGGGCGGCGGTATCACTTATCATCAGCCTTCTGCCCGTTTGCTCCGTTCTATAAAAAAAATACAGACGTACACAAAATATAAATATTTATAATTGTCTGTAAATAAGACAAATTAAATACTTCCTTATTGAAATCTAATAGGCATAGGCCAATAGTAAAAAAATGTGAGATAAATAATTCATGATCTATTAAAAAATATTGCTTATAGAGTGCATAAATAAATCTCGTGTTGAATTTTGTCCATATTCAGCTACGATTTTTTATTATTTATTTATAACAATTAAATACTAAAATTAATTAATTTATAACGCTCACTAACAATACACATAAAACACTAGGCGGGAAAATATTACATTAAAAACACAGAACATCAATAACAAGTAAGTTATATTCAGAGACACATCACAGAATGAGAAAAAACAGACCATAAAATATTGTATCTTATCTGCAAATATCATTTGAGTAAGTTTTTGGGTCAATATAATTACCGAAACATGATATACATAATTTACTTAACATAATATTATTAAACATATCTTATTAGCTATATGCTCTAACGTTAAAGCTCTTACAAAATAAATACGTAAAGCTATATGTCTATTGTATACGTAACATTATATACTATCTAGATGAATTGACAATATGTATAACGATAAAGATTATGTATTAGAGAAAGATCGTTGTATTTCACTTTTGAGATGATGTAGCGTAGGCCTAATGCTGTAATTGTATCGAGTGTGTGGGAGCGGCGGGGGGCACGTCCCGCCCCGTCGTCCCGTCGGGCGGCGGCCCGCGCCGCAGTCCGCGCTCGTTGCCGCCATCGGTTTCTAGTCTCTACGCCCGGCTGCGTATTTTACGTACCGCGATCGTCTTTGTTTACTCGTCCACGCGAGATAACCAGCTGTTTGTGTCGCTCCCATATATCTCAGTGAAATCTCAGTGTACCAATCCATAGTGCAGTGCTCGTGCCTACAGTGAGTTCATGGATACCCCGGGATATTATTAGAACGTGTGCTAAAGGCGGCCCAGCCATGGCCGCCACGGCTCGCCGCGAGATCGACACCGGCGAGGAAGACATCGCTGCGATCGCCAAACAAATATCTGACCACGCTGAAGCAATCTATCAAACGTGGAAAGCGCGCGGTCTAGCACCCACCGAAATATTGTCATGTAGGCCCACGCCCGGCCTTAAACTGACGGAGAGTTTGCGAACAAAGCCAAAACCGGAACCGAAGCCCGAAATAAAACAGCGCCCTGAATTTCGTAGAGAACGCCCTGAAATTCGTGAGCAACGGCCGGATCTACGGAGAGATCAGAGACCTGAACTCAGAGATATTCACTCGGAATCTGAGAGGGAAGCGATGAATCTGCCTCCCGATTTAGTTCCAGAGCGTAACGGCAGTGCTAATCCCGCAATTGGGAGACGGGACAACGCTGCTATGCGGCTGGAAGTCGCACGCGAGGAGGAACGGCTTCTTAGGGCACTCCGTACCGGTGGAGTGGTTGCAGAGCGTCCATCAGAAAGGCCTGATGTGGTGCCTCCTATATCGCTAGTAGATTACGCAAAGAGTCGGTACCAAGATCGACTAGAAACAGGCGCGAGGAAGCCAGTAGCCGGCGCGAGTGGTGAACGACGAGCTTCCCTCGGCTCCCATGTGACGGAGGCGAGGTCGAAGTTCGAAGCTCGAGCGCGCCGGTCCTCCAGCGCTGGTGCAGCTGAATCTGGCTCAGCCACCGGTCAGACGCCAGTTCGACCGTTCCTTACAAGAGGCTCTGTAGCAGAGAGAGTGCTTATGTTTGAGCGCTGTCCGAGTGAAGCGACATTAGAACTTGCAAAGCGAAAGTCACCAGCTGCTACTACTTGGCGAGGACCCCACGACGTCATCAATAGAGCACAGGTGAGTGTTTAATATATTGAAAACCGGTTTTTACAGTTTGCGCAAAGTGAATTTGTATTCGTGTGCCGCATTGTTTGTAATGTCGTCATCGACACGTACATGGACATTTGAATGTAAATAAATACATTGAGCATATTGTACACTATATTTATCTGAGATGAGATTATGATACTGAAGGTGACATCAGCTCATAAATGTGTTTTATAATGTCAGTTTTTATTGGACAAGTTTTCCGAAGAATTACCTTAAGTTTAGTGTTTGATTGACTGTGTTACGTTTCAGCTCATATTTGGTAACGATAAAAGAGTACAATGAACTGATGCAATATATTCGCGTCAAATACATCTGTCGTATTTAATATATGGTGTGCGCAGTTCAACAAATTTTTTGACACTTTGCCAGTCACTTCCTTGTTGAAATCTTGTTATACGCTAGAGCTGTCTTAGCAGGATGGATAGAAGTTTAAATACATCTCTGGACAAATACATAGATCGGCGGGCGCCACTTGATTATTATAATTTATAATTAAAAAAAACGTATTTTTAACAATTGACCCATAAATGTAACTTAAATATTTGTGAGTAATATTGAACACGATACGTAACAGTATTTAAAGTTTTAAATAGATAAGTAGAAATAATAGTTTATCGCTAGAAAGCGCGCCAATGACATTCCAATAATTACTAATCTGTGGTAGCGTCAACTTTGGCGCCTTTATACGTTTATTCACATTGACCATGATTTATTAACTATTCGATTTAATCCCAATTTATGTGACAGTATATAACTTAATATTAAAACACGACTGATTAAATGCATTAACTATATTTAGCACTGATAGCGCGAAATTAAGCTACCAAGGGCATGTTAGTTGTCAATGAATCATAATTTGGACCCGTGTTATTGAAATTACTCTTACGTAAAATATAGATTGCGGTTTTTCTGCGAGATTCTGAGGTCACGACCCAGAACTGACGTAAGTAATTTAATAATAACCTTAAAATATCTGAAGTTAGTTACAAGTTGCAAAGTCGAATTTCGTTGATATGTACAAACATATTATCATAAGTTGAAATAGTTAATATTACTTAATACAAACATCGTTTTATGGCAATAAAGGTAAAAAGTTTTGACTAGTAGTAACTTTTTGTTTTGTACTGTGTCATTGATAAAGTCCGTCTATCATCGATTTTACGTGATCATTCCTCTCTTTCTGACTTACAGTATTTACGTATAATGAAAGGAAACAGATAGGTTTTTGTTTATGTAGGTGGTATTATATTATATATATGGGCCTGTACTGGCCTCGCACGGTTGAACTTTTAAACATTTTAATAATGCCTTTTTTAAAAAGGGTTTATGTAGGAATTTTTGAGTTTATTCGTGACAAAGTTTACCGCTTTATAATATTAGATTTCTCTATAAATGTTTTTTTATGTAAACAGAGAGAAACTGATTAGATTAGAGATTATTTTTTAAATTAACTGAAATACAGTTATCAAAGAAATATAACAGAACTGGAACACAAAAACACGTACTCGTAACGATACGATATACTCGTACATATTTAAATCTGGAGTATATATATATATATATATATATATACTACAGATTTAAATATTTTATTTTATTTCTATGTTAAATAAATTTATATGTATTTATACACATAATATTTTATGTAATTTTTTCGCTACTTATGAAAAATGTTTCTATATCAGGAAAATTATTGTTTTTCTGTTACACGCCTTAAAATCCAGTAGCGCTACAACCTTTGAGGTCTGGGCCTCAGATTTCTATATCTTTTTCGTAATAATTAGTTTTTTTCTAATAGTGAACTAGGTGACACGTTCTGTATCTGTTACTGTAAAATCATTTATTCATTTAGGTAACACAATGTACACTTATGAACGTCAAAAAGAAATACATATTAATTGCTTCTAATTTTACATTTACTGCCAGTTCTCAAATCAAGGGCGTAGAACGGAAGAGAAGGACTGGCAATTAACTATCCGCCACTCTATAATCGCCAAGTTTTTTGTTTCACAATGTTTGTAAGGAGCTGCAACCATTACGCCATGTTCCACATGACATCTCAAGTAATTAATTGTTAATTAATAATGATAAAATAAATTAAAAACAAAGATTTGTCCTCTATCAGCAGGAGGCATGGTGAAATAAGAGCACGTACTTACATTCTCGTAAGTTCTAGGCCTAACGTCACGGTGTTTTCCTTCAGCATAAGAGGCTTGAAGTTATCGCTCGATCAAGCGTCCATATTATTTAATTTATTTATTGTAATTAGTGAAACCTCCATAGAGTAAAAGGAAATAAATATTTTCATTAGAAAGCCTTTAAATGCGGAACTCGTACGATTTCAATCACATCCTGTTATTTATAATTCTATACGCGTATTTATACTGTTACGTTAAATGTGGGTTGGCGGCCTTTCGAAGGCCTAATCTTAAAAAGTTTTTAAATATTTTCAGCTGGTGTTGACCCAGTGGTTGATTTGTCTGCTACTTTTAAGTTACTAAAACCCTTGGAAAAAATTGCCAGAAGCCCGGGTTACCAAAAGGCATACAGTATACAGTCAAAATCTGTTATGCCGACATCGAAGGGACTACTCCTATTTGGTCGTAAAAACCGATAATAATAGCCGATGACGTTGTCATTACAAGTACTTAATACTTTACACGCCGTCAATATAATCGGCATACGTTGTTCTAAACGATGTCGTCGTAAACGGTTTCGAAAAAAAACTAAATAAAAACAAAACTAAAATGTTGCTAACTTCAGGGTGTCCATTTTTTGTGACAGTGTGCTCGCGCATCATAAAAATTTACTCTTATCATTTTTCCCTAACGCGTCAAAAGAAGTATAACTACAAAATTATAAAAACTAATCGCACGGAACACGAATTACAATGCAATACAAAAGAATAAAAAAATACATGAATTAAAAATGTTTTATTGATAGACTTCTAATAAATAGGTCCAACTATCACAGTCTCCCTAGTTGTATAAAATCCAGGAACAGATCAAACTTTGACTACAGTACATATCTTAAAGCAAAGTGGTCTGGAGAGATTGTTCACCTCACAAGCAAAAAATAGCGATCCAAATATACAATTTGGCTGTCGGCCAGGGCGGATTGATGCATCTGTACCTACTGCCGTTCATCAAATCTCAGAAATTGAACTAGGTCGCTATACAGGGTCACATAGGCTTAGAGAATATATAATCGCTCTCTCCCTTTCGATAAAAACGCTGCACATCTTCGTGACGTTCCGTAAAAATGTTACCCTCATGCGCCTAAAGAAGTTTCAGTTCAAAAATAGTGGGCAATGCTTCCAAACAGCAGTGGATGGAGAACAAAATACCTACATCGCTATATTTCTCAACATATGCGTGACTAACACAATTACTTCTCATGCACTGTTTTGTTACGAAAGTGTCCCAATGTCCGCAATTCTTTTAATTGTTCTGTTTCCGCATTACGCGACCTATTGACCAAGACTTCCTGGCTGACGTAAAATAGAATTTTAACTCACTTACAAAACTCGAAAACCAAATCTACTCTTTAAGGCCCTATCCCAGTACGAATTGCTGTGTCAGTGTCTCGGCGTGGACTGCGGGGCGCAGCGGAGAGCTGGAGCAGTGAGGTGCGCCGGCCCGTAATAACAATTAGTTATGTAAAACATTAATGTTATTTTATCAATTTTTTTTCTGAAATGGATTACTTGGCTTGCGATAAAATATATCGTGTAAATTTCAAAATAATGTTTTATATTGTTAAAATGAATTTTCAAAGTGTCAAAAATTGGCTATGTTTGGATTTCTTTTCCATCAAGCCAAGTTATTTAAATCGTGTATCGTTCTTTCAAAATGGATACATAAACTACTCAACTCCACCATATATTTTTTTCATTCGCCCTACTTCAAGAAACGATGGCGAAAAATAGAAAGAAACAATGTACTTTTTTGGAGTTTGGCGACCTGATAGGTCCTTAAGTTCAAATAGCTAACTGAGTTCGTACCCGATTTCGTTACTGACCGGGTGGTTGGAGTATCTATGCCTCATAGGCTTTGTACGTGCCAAGGACGTCTTGCTCACTCAGGTTTTCTTTGATAAGCGTGGCGATTACCTAAATCGTCGAGTCTACTCTATAAGCATTTCATTTGATAGCATTCAAGAACGCGCATAGTGATTAATAATTAGTTAATAACATCCCCCTAACCCAGAAACCGTACATTTTGGTCCTTCGAGTCGGACATTTATTTATATATCCTTATATGTAAATAATAAGGAATTCTTGTTTTTCAGTATTCATAAATAATGTAACAAATTCGAGTTTATATAGAAGTTATATTTAAATTATGTACATATTGTTTCCGACAAGTATAGTTGTTATGCGCAGAAGCAGTCTTTTGTTTTTCGCTACGAAAGTGCACACGCAACTTTCACACACAAGATCCGGCCAAGCTACATTAAGTATACGTGTAAACTAAAATTATTCCCCTTTAATCATTAATAATATTTTCAACAATAAATTGAATTCAGCGTTGACACACTTTAAATTTAAACAAGATATGGTGTTGTAATACTGTATATTATTTGTTAAACTTCTATTATTTTGGATTTAAAATTGATTTTATATTTATTTCGTAATCCTACAGCTATCATAAATTATATAAAACAAACTAGATGACCGGGCAAACGTCGTTTTGCCATATATATCATTTATAATAAAAAAATAGGGGTTGATCGTAGAGGGGTGAAAGTTAGGGGTTTGTATGTATTTTTTAATGCTGTATCATAAAAAAATAAAAACAGAAAAAAATACCCAATATGCACACAAAATTTCATGAGAATCGGTCGAGCCGTTTTGGAGGAGTATGGCAACGAAAACTGTGACACGAGAATTTTATATATTAGATATACTAAAGATATAGCCAAAGATGGACTACATATAATATACAAAAAGGTTCAAACATATACGAACGGAAAAAAAA